AAAAAAAATCAAGGAAAGTGAATTTTGCCAGATATAATAATTTCAGAGATGGGAGGAAATTTTGACATCATCCAACATCCCCATCATTTAACAAAGGAGAAGACTGTGATTCAGGGAAGCATCCTTACGTTATCCTGGCTGAGTTAGTTTAGCTAACTAGCCACCTCCTTTTCACTCGTGTTGTTTTACTGCTATCCAGAGGTATTTATTAGGGTAACACTTTCTGTGCTACACTGTGTTCTCTAGTCTATTAGGAAGGAAATTGGGTTTTTCATAACAGTTTTTCTAAAATTTTGGTATGTATAAAAAAAGGCTTGATAATAATTGTAAAAGAGAACAAATCTCACCAGAATATTCATATCCTTTTAAAGCATTTTATTCTTGAGTTTTGCAGTATTTCTTGACGGTAGATTAGAATCGGTATTAACGTCACCGTTATATAGGTGAGGAGAGTGAGGCTCAGTGATGTTCAAAGACTTGCTCAGCATCACGTAGATAATGGTGGTAAAACCAGGAATTTATCTCAGCTTCTCTGAATATAAACCCAGGATCCTTTTCCTTACTCCTTAGGTGTTTCTGCTGTCTGCTACTCACACTGCTTAGAAGAACATGATTAATTTTTTTCATGATATTTGGCCAAAATGTGATAAAATTGTTTTAAAGTTCCACTTTAAAGATTTCAATTTATTGGGGTCCCAGGGTGGCTCAGTCGGTTGAACATCCAACTTCAGCTCAGGTCGTGACCTCAGTTCGTAGGTTCAAGCCCCACAACGGGCTGGGCTCTGTGCTGACAGCTCAGAGCCTGGAGCGTGCTTCACATTCTGTATCTCCCTCTCTCTCTGCCCCTCCCCTGCGCAGGCTCCATCTCTCAAAATGAATAAACTTAAAACAAAAATTCAATTTAATAAGAAAAGCTTACCAAACTGTCAAGAAATTAAAAATAAGCCAGCCATTTTGTTTTCTTACATCTATATTGAACTTTAAAGCTAATCTTCCAGCATTTATTGTTACCATCACCATTTTTAGTTCTTAAGCACTCTGATAAATATTCTGTATATCATCTCATTTAATTACACTCCATTATACTGCAAAATGTTATTTCTTTTTGTTTAAGTCCTCGTATATACCCCAACAGAAATACCTCTCTAGTTATCATGTGCAAATATCTATCTAACTGCAGATTTAGGCTGTCTCAAAATTGACAGTAGGTGAAATTTATCTTCCTTATTCTTGTCTTCTCCATTCTTCATCTTTATTTTCTTCCTTTTTTCTCCTATCAAAGTATGACATTAGTGAAAGAATGAATAAAGTTATTTATGGTTATTATGTAAATTACTTCTAATGCTTCCACTGTTACTTTACCCATTAGTAATTATATTATAAGTGTAGTTTAAGACAAATTAAGTAATCTGCAATGGTGGAATTTTAGGCATTGTTGAGAAAGTAGAGTATTTTCCCAAAGCCCTTGTAATATGCCACTTACATAGCTACCAACTTCATTTATTAATATGGCTGGATTTCTGTGGATATTAACTTTATCTTGAAAATGTATTGGTAATTTTTAGTTTCCTACTCTACCATGAACTATAAAATTATCCATGGAAATTTATAGATAGCTTCTGGTTTTTTACTCTCTAAAGAATTATAAAATTATTCCACAGATGCTATTGAATTCAAAAGAGAAGTTCAAGAAAACAGTGGAAAAATAATGAATGGAGTGATTGCGGGGTTGATCTCACTGTTCTTTATGTTATAAAATTTGTAAAATTTTATTCCTTTAAAAACATATGCCCTTGTCACAGATTTAGATCCTTGGGAAAATTATATTTGAAAAACATATGTATCCCATTTTCCTAAACAGTGTTTATAGTAGAAAATCTGTCTGGTGCTGTAATATGTCATGTATGCTATATGTACTTTTTCTTGGTTTTACCACTAAATTATTTGGCCATGTTTATGAGGAAATCACAGTACTTTAAGATACAGTTACAGCCGCAAGTCAAATTATGCCAATGCTGACCTCAGACACTGTTCTAGAATAGTATCTTATGTATAAATGCTCCCCTATGTTCTGTTTATTACAAGTAAAATCATCTTCAAATAGCTTTGACATTAAATAAGGGCAAACGTATTAGCATGGGATATTATGCATCATGGGAAACTTTATTTCAATTTAGATTATTAATGTTCCATGAGAAGAATGGTTACTTATTACTGTTTTAATAGCAGTAAAAGGAAAATACCTTTTGATGATGTGTCCACTTTCTGGTGTGGAAAATATTAAGTGTGTGGAATATAAATATGGCCGTTTTTTCTTGGTAATTGATTAAATTATGTATATTATTTGTTATTATTTATGAAGTTGATATTCAAACACAGCTGCAGAACTAAAGCATCCCAGGCCACCATAAAGACGATGACAGAAATCTATATGTCTGAAAGAATATAACAGAAGTCGTAGAAATACTGAAATCTAAAAGTACCTGTATCTAAGAAACTTTTGGCTATGCATATGTCGAGGATTGTTAATTCAAAATTTCTGCTGACTTCAGAGCTATTTAGAAGTGTGGGTTCATGCTTTGTTAGGGTACTGCTATGTGGATCCCATGTCATTTCATTTATGATCATTAGTATTAATACTAGAAGATGTACTTTATTATAATTATCACTCCCCTTTAATTAATCTGATTATTCTCTCTGTGTTAAATTTTCTCATTTCCTTAAATTTTAGGTAGATAGAAGTATGCAGTCTTACAAACATAGAATATGATTCAGTTTGAAGTAATTTTACAATGTAATTTGTAGAAAACTAGTAACACTTTTTAGGTAATTCCGTAACGTTTATGGGATATTTTACACAGGTTTTTAAAGTCTCTGAAATTAAGGCCAGAAGCTGATAAAATGAATTACTTCACTTTCTGTACTATGTATGGTATGAAACACTTTGACAGTCAAAATAGGCATAGAAAACTTCAAAATCCAAGTTTAGGCCTTTGTAAATATTAACATGACCTTCTTTGCACAACTGAGTCAGTTTCTAACTTATATACCAAAGCTGTGTGTTTGATATAAATAGTTTAACAAAATGTTAATATGTATATCTCTCTCTTATATAGAGAAATCATATGCTATATACATATAGCACAGAAACATAGAGGAGTAGTAAAAATCCTGTCCAAAATATTTCAGTGATATAGTAACATTACTGAACTTAGGCTCAGAAGACTTGCTATTCTGCTACTGTAGCTTGTTCTGCCAGCCAAATCATCACTTCTTTTCCTGAGTAAACACGGACTATGGAATTAAGTTGTTATGAATCAGCTTCCTTAGCGACATCTGTATTTTTTTAATGAAATGATAGACTTACAAGTAAGAGAGATCTTCTCCTAAATAGTATAAATATTATATTAAAGCTATTGAAAATGGACACATTTCAAAATAACATATTATTTTGGTTGTCCAAGAGTTATTTGGTATTTAGCTTCATACTGCTATTTTTAAATTTAGTGTTTGGGTTAAACGTTATCTCATTTTAAATCTTACTTCCCAGAAAATTTCTCCCCAAGTAAAACGTTGTCTTTATTCAGTATTTATAGATTGAGTTGAAATTTACAACACAATGTGTTTCTGTTTTTTCAACCAGAAAAGGTATGAAAACTGATTTTGCTGGAAATTGGGTATATTTTAGGACCAGAGTATATAAAAGTTGTTATAGTAACACATTTCAAGATCCTAGTAAAAGGTACTTACTAGTAATCATTACAATTATTTTTAAAGACCTCATGTAATCAGTTATATATTAGTCAATATTTGTGTACTCATACTTTTGGCTATTGAGATATTATAGCTCTTACCTCTTTCCTTCCTCTTACAACCCCTACATATTACAAATCAAAAAAGTTAGATCAAAATCCTTATTGTCAGTTATGTT